AGTTTTACAAGAAATGTCGAAAACTGACAATTTTCTTTATTTTAGGCAAAGAAAGGTATCTACACTGAAGCGATAAATTTCTATCCTATGCTATCCTATGCTTTTGAACTGAAACACCTGCGCGGTCATGGTCAGCATGACATTGAATTCAGATTCATTGAATACTTCATTCTAGTATCCGTGGATACCTGAATTAGGCCCTTAGTCTTAACTCGCTACCTTGTACAGTGGATTAGGGGGTCTTAAAATCAACATTATGTATTTAAAATACAAAGAAGCAAACGGTGTTCCCTTTTTGGAAAAATGGCATTCAGACACAAAACACATTTTTCAAGGCACACAATGAGCGATATGGAGGAAACGTTTTCTTCATTTGAACACCAAAGTGTAAACCGTACACAGAATTACAATTCATCAACCCGTTTTTGAGTTCCAAGTCTCTAGTTTCGCTCGTGGAGGCATAAATTTGAAATTCAGAACTCGAAATCGGGCTTGCACATGTACATCGAAGTTTTCTACACGTTGTTGGAGAGGGTGTGACTTGGTGATAAACGGAATATGGCTGAAATTTCCAAAAGAAAATCATAAGAATGTTGTATAAAAATCTAAAGCGTATTGTTTGCCTTCCATGGCCATATATCTGTCAGACTTTTCAGATCTCCTACCCTTACTGGCAAAGTTGACTAACGAGCCAATAAAGGAAGACAGAATCTAATAACCGTGTGTTCGTAATACGATAAAGAACAGTGTCAGTTATGTATGAGGTTTGAATTTGAACAAGATTCAGCCTATGTGTGGCGAATCTTAGACCCCATTTCCATAGATTTTAGATCGATCTATCCCTGTGGGGAGTCTCACTAGATTACTGTCAGCTTAGCCGGCTTAAGCGTCTGTTCCGCCTGCTAAAAGCTGTAAGGGGGTAATTAACTATGGTGCGCGCTCGGCTGACTGCAATTTAGCGTGAACCCCCAGGGAAATAGGTCGATCTTAATTTTAATCTCTTGATCGATCTAAATCCCTGTGAATACACCCTTATAGATGATGCTAGTTTCATGGATCCTCTAAGTGCATTCGCTCACGTAGGGTACATAGCGGAGAAAAGCAGATAACCTGAACCATATAGGTCGGTCAGATTAATTTGACGAGAGAAGGATAAGAAGATGACAATCTAATCTGTTTCTAACTTTGCCATATTCATGGGCTGATATTTCAATTCTACTTTCAAGTTTTATCGACCACAAAAACCTTGAACGCTCGACCAATTCTTGACTGCACATGGCGGCCATGACACCTAGAGCCGACATTTTCCGTCGTCTGCTTCATTTCTTCCAATCATTCCTCAGACGACTCCTTCTGCCCTTTTATCTCTGTTTTTCTACGACATTTCTGCTTTGTGTTGAATAATACTCACTGCGTGAAATGTTGTTTAAGTTCAGCACGGCAACAAGAGAGCACAGTGGGAAAAAAGTAATTTGCTGGGAAAGTCTCTATTGGAGTTCAAATGCGTAAATCTAAAGTGACCACAGAATAAACAATGCTAATTTCGGGCGAACAAAAATTACCGTGAGATTAATAGTCTCTTTAGAGATGTCTTATTACTATACCAAAGAGTGCACAGGTTAGACTAATTCTAAAAACAACTGCATTTAAAAAAGAACTTACTTTTAATAGCATACTTACATGTCGTAGGTTCTGCTCTTGAGAGAAAACGAGATCGATTTAGACTTTTCAATTACGTAAGTTAAAGAACACCGGCTAATACCAACCGTTCAAATCGAAGATACCCGCATCAGGGAAACAGTTTAATTAAGATTTAAAGTACTTGTCGCTTTCTCAATTAAAATTCTTTTACGTAAAAATGTCCATTTAAGTGAAAACATGTTAGGTGTCTTCACTGAAGATATCTCTCCATTATTGAAAGAAAATTTAACGCATGTCCATTTATTTCTAAGTGCAAGTCCATCTGCGCTTTTGGCAAGCCCGTAGCGCACATTGCCACTACAACATAATGCTAAGACATTAAACATGAACATAACACTAGAGCACACGCACGCACACACGCGCGCCCATTCCACGTAATAAACATATTATAAAGTGTGTTTCAAGTTCGAAAATATCGACAAGCTTGGAAAATGTAGACGGTTTTTTGAAAATGTAGACGTCTGTTGCCAAGTCAGCTTCCTGTGAGTGTTTGGAAATAGACCGGTTCTTAGCAGCATGTATAACGATATTGCATCACCACCTGAGGACTGTGAATAAAAACAGTATTTTTTATAAAGCTGCTAATGGATATCAACCAAAGGCAGACAAACATAAGCCCTGTGGATACGTACATACACACACTTGCACACATAAATATGCATATACGCGCACGCATACCCTCACGAGCGATCACTTTCCACAAACAAATTTCCCGAAGCTATCAACCGTTGGGAATATGTCTAGTCTCCTTTTTGGAAAACTAACGCTAATAGGGAAAAGGGAAAATAAAAACTGGCACGGTATGGACTGCTCTGAAATGATCCGGGAAGAACGCCCCTATCATTTGGAATATTTAACCTAGTTCGTTGCTGACAATGCGCTCGTCTTGATCCTCTAATAATCGATAACCACATTCCGATGAAACAAACGGAACCAGATGGTAACGAGCCGTCCATCCCATTAGTGAGTGAAATATCCCGCAGTGAGGTGTGATTTCCAGCTGCACATGTAACATTAGGAGATTTGATTGTTTCGTGGGAATTATTTCGGTGACTTAATCTTTTGGTTGCAGTCTCTAATGACCCTTGTAACGTTGGCCGATTGCCGTCGAATGTTACTCGTATTGTATGTGATATTTTGTTACCTGACTAGTCTTTATTTTGCTGCTCTAGTGCCGCAAGTGAGGCACGTCTTGGCTTGGTGAATAATGGAATATTCGTTGGGCGACTTAATTCTTTCTTACTTAAAAGACAAACACGTTGCTTTGTGGTTACCGTTTAGCCACATGATGCGACATCTGCATTTCATATATGCCAATAAACTTGTACAGTTAATTAAGAAGACCAACTTCATTTTATAAGTGCAATTCAATATTATGAAGTTTTCAATAACAAGAGTATCTTAATAACAAGATCTGAACTAAGTGAAAGTTGTCGTAAACCATTACATCAATAATTTTGTCGCCTTAAAGATTGCTTGTGTACGCAAATAACACGCTTTATTCAGAGCCATCCTCAATCATTTCAAATGTACTTCCAAACTAATAGAGCTGCCCCGATAGAACTATTCAGTAAAATCAAAATGGCATTTGGCAGTTTAGTGGATGTTGCAAATTGAACAAGACCTGCAGTTAAAACGGTATCAATTAAACAAAGTGACTGCATAAATGCCAGGTAGAGGTCATTTAAGTCGTGCCCAAAACTGGCCAAACAAATGACCGATGTGGCGTTTTCCACATTCAGATATCCTCACTTCACTTTTCCAAGACAATCCACCGGAAGTAATTAGAAGCATTTGGGAATTTGACAAATAGGCAAAAGCCAAATCAATCAAACGGCTAGTTATAATATTATTGTTAAACAAGGTAGATATGCAAGTCAGAGGCCCAAGATGTGCGTTCTTGGGCAGCACTGACAACACGTATTGCTTGGCATTACAATAATTGGTCATTCAATTTGTATGAGATTAATCAAAGCCACGAGGGACTAAGGGGTTTAACGTTCACTGAAGCGAAATGAGGAAACATCACTGTTGGGATTCAGAAAATGCTCCATTCGGAGTAAATTAATAAAGTATCACTGCGTCTGGTGTTATTGAATGGGTCATATGTTTTAATGTATTACAGCCATTAAAGATTTGCAGCATGTAACTTCGAAGTGCAGTGCAGCCACAGTGGACTTGCCATTTTGCGAAAGACGCTGATTGTGCTGAGATTTAAAAAATAGCCTTCTCTTACTGAAAAACTAGAACAAATACTTAGTTGGATACACGACCTTCAGGTTATCGTTTCATTCATTCATTTTCATTAATTCATTCATTCAATCATTCATTCATTCATAATTCTTAAAGAATTTTCAACTGAATTCAACAAACAGAAAGTGGAGTTTGTTTAATAAATAACATCATATTAAGGAAAAATGTTATTAGAGATAGCGTCATAAATCCCTAACATTTCACATCCTTCAAGATGCAACACTTGTTAAGTTAATAGATTACGTAACTCTATAGTTTTTTTTCTTTTTTAGCGCTTCTCTACGTCGTATGAATGCATATTCTGGTGATACACTTAAAGTCACTTTTGTGCGTTTAATGTTACCTTTATAATGCCTTTCATCCGTTAAAAACGTTTTAATACTTGTGACTGATAGAGGTGTCCGATGGATATTGAAACGCTTCAAGTAAGTTGAAGCTAACTTTTGTGAAATAAAAGAAAATATAACGTCTTATGCAGTTATATCGTCTTTATCTAACCTATGGGCCCACCTTTATTGGATATTCCTTTCATTATTTTTTAATATTGGCTTAGACACCCGTCAGTGACGCACATATTCTGTTTGATACTTGCATAACTGTTGCAAACCACAATTTAATTACTGTTGACTTCGTACCACACTGGAGGATATATACTGTTGTAGTAAACAGAAAAAATATTGGAGAGAGTCAGATTCTTGCAAATATCACACAAAATGTGAGCGTAACTGATGTAACTCACAGAGTAACTTTTTTTGCTTATTTGCCATTAAATCGATGGTGTGTATGGGTGTCAGACAAGTTGAAAATGAAATTGAAATGAAAACTTCAACTTCAGTGCCCAAGCCGATAATTACCTAAAATCACTCTGAAAATGAGAGGGTGATTTCTATCATTATTACCCTATTTACTTTCTACTTATTAGAAAGCGTAGCCATTGTGTTTCATTGTGCTAGGCGACTTTGGTGCATTGGGTGTGACGTCACTGATTGTGTTAGGAGTGACATTGTGTTAGGTGTGACATTGTGTTGGCGGTGATAGTTACTCACAGAATCTTCTCCCAGACTCCTTTCCCAAACTTTGATATCACCAGGTCCTTGACAACGACATGGATTTGTCCATACTGAAAGATAGAAAATCACATCAAACGTCAAATTCATCGTTTCAGTATATAGTGCTGTAAAGAGATTTGAATGTGTTATTAGCAGTATTAGCTCTAATACATAAAGCATGTTATGCAACAGTTTTAGGGCATAAACAATATAAGCCCTGTATACGTAAAATTTGTTTACTTTTCCTCCATGTGGTCTGCTATAAAAAGGTTGTGTCCGTAGAGAAGAAATTAACACAGATTAATAATAACTACCAGACTATTTAAATTTGACGTATTGAAAACACACACACACACACACACACACACACATTCATATGTTTTATTTCATGAACCAGTTTAAACCAAGACATGATAAAAAAGTGTCACTAGATCTACAGTTGTGTTTCTGTAACTGAAACTGGCAATCACGCCAACTGACAACGTTTCAGTAAAAATCTAGCCGAGATGAGATTAAGACAAAACCGTCGACAAGATTCGAAAAGGGTGGATCTAATTGGCACGGCTATTCGACAATATAGACATCAGTATAGACTGCCCAATTCTCTACCACTCTAAAGTGGGGTGAAATAAAAATTAAAACACAGCTGAGGAAGCGACCCACCTCCAATAGCCACTGACGTTACCACAAACATACTTCCAAACTTAACTCACCATGGCAGCTTAAGACCGTCCCAAGAGAGTCTTAGCAGTCTGGCCACTTAGCTCAAATATGTATTATTCAAGGCTACTTCTTAATTGAATGTAACGAGTATGGTTAAGATGACATTTACTCCATCGAAGAAAGTCTTGCACTGGATTGCGTAAAAGAGTTTTGATGTTAAATGCGTTTTGTATTTGCTTCAAACTAACGTAAGAATCCTTTGACCTTTTATATTTCAATAGCAAAGGAATCGTTGCTCCCGCTACAGATTGATATACTGTATGAAAGTGACCGTATCCCTTTCTTCATTACCAAATCTTTATACTTTTTAATTCTGTTTCAGCCTCGCAACGTGTTCCGTCGAAACAAAACCGCCAAAGACCGTTGACATCAACTTTTAAGTTCTCCACTATTTAAGGCCATGAAAATGTCGTGCATTCCTTGCAATGCAGGCATACCCTATATGTACTTCTAATACTAGCACCCTGAGTGTGGTCCATCCATGTCGTAAGGCATGCAGAGGAAAGTTCCTACAAATTGACGGGTTTTAAACAGACCATTGCCCCGTATGGCGTACATCGCAGTTTACTCGTGGAAGAGACCGTGGCGAGCACTCTATAGTGTAACGGTAGACTAATAGAATGTCACCTGTGTAGCTGTCCATCAAAGCAAACGAACTAGAATAGATCGATGAGAAGGAGGCAACCGCGTCTAATCACGGCATCCTTCACATTATACGCGTATCTTGATTGTCCTGTGGCTTGAGATAGAAGATTCACGAGTAGGATTTATGATTCAGATTTGTTGCATGAGAACTGTTCCTTGGCGCATTACAGGGATGTCTTCGAGGAGGGATTTTAGTCTATGGTAATACAAGGGGCTTAGAAAACAAATAATTTTGAAGCCATATGCCTTACTTAATTAAACATTAAGCAAAATTATGGACCATGCTTATTTATAATTGGGATAGGATGGCACTTTCTTCTATCAAATTCTGCAAAATTGAAAACAGGTGTCAGATGCCATTACGTCATAGGATAACATGTATCATAACGTTGGGCGTGGACATCATAAAATTTTGACGTGAGCATCATAAAATAGTGACGTGGACACCAGAACACGATGCCGTGATGAACTTGTTTTCGTTACCATTAATTAAGATTTCGTTTCCAATGATTCAACGAAGAAGACCAATGTCGAATTCTGAATTTTGTACTTGACGCACTGCGCTGTTTGACGCAAAATGTTATAGAAAATTATATGGAATATTGAGCTCTTTCCCAGCCCAGTTCTCCAATTTCTTTCTCTCGTTACTACTCTTTCCGTGATACCGTTTTTTCAAACAACACACCCTGTAAAGATGTTTTTAGAATGACATATTTAAATTGAAACACGTTTAGTCAATGTATCATATATGTACTGAATCATCCTGCATTGTTTTACTTTGACACACAACAGGTGTTAGTGCTGGCATAAAATCCAACCGACGAATTTGAACATGTTGTACTTGACGCACTGCGCTGTTTGACGCAAAATGTTATAGAAACCATATGAAATGGAAAGCACTATCCCAAACTACCCCAAAACGCCGTAAACAGTACTATTTTGCCTACGGCAAAGCGAGCTGTAGATGGCTTAATCATCTCAATTAAATCTGCCAATTAGTCCGAATACAAAGCATTAACGTCAGTTAATGACATTTCTATTCCACGGACATCTATTAATGTGAAATGACTTGTCACAATTACCAAAACGTTCAATACAAAAGGAAGTATTGGCGGATACCGGGATAATTTACTAAGTGCTGACCCGGACGAACTGCGCAGAAAAATGGACTGGCCATTCTGCACTGTTTAATACCGCCTTCAATATGAATGAATTCCATAAGGTCATGAGTACTCTTTTCTTATTTGCCTTTCGTAAATCTTGAAAAATGGTGCCACCATCCCGATCAAGCCGGTAGCTGCGCGTCAATAGCAAACTTGGTTATTTTATATGCTTAAGTGTTCTGACCAACTCGTGTTGTCGTACGAATATCGTACTAAGTTTGTCATGTGAATAAAGCAAAGGAGCATCAATTGCACGCATAATCGCTTTAATCAAAGCCAATTCGCTTCATTCATTTAATTCGTTTTATCCTTCTACCTATTAATCTATATATGTACCTTTATTGTGCATACATTTAAATCTTCAGTGAGAACTCATTAAACAATTTCGTTGACATGTACGTGTCGACATCTACGTTCCCAAAGTACATGTGCAGAGTATATAATAAATAAAAGATAATAAATGGAAACATTATCAGGTTTGCACTATCAAAAGGCACTCCAAAAACGATTTAATATGTAAGGCTTCACAGGTTCTAACCCGTTATGTCGTTACGCTACCATTTATTGGCTTAAAACCCCATTTACTTCTTGAAAAGACACTGCCGTTAGGAAACCATACACTAAAAAAAAAGTGATTAGGTACATGTTATTTTTCAATACCAAAAAAAAAAAAAAGGCTCAGGTCTTCTTTTGTCCATACAAATTTGAAATACAATATTCCCTTTTAAATACTTTATATATGGTAAAGGTGTGTATTTTGACGGTATGGCGCCCTCTCAAAGAACCTTTCTTTACAAAAACGTAGCAAAATTTTAAATGGACGGTTAGGAATAATTGAAGATAGCTACTTGCTTAATGGACTTTAAAGGTATCCATTCCAACTTTTCTCCGATTAGAGTTTGTTTTAATTTGTCGCTCTGCTCTTGGCTTTGGGTTTTAATAGTGGACTAGAACCATTTAGGCCTACTGTGCATGTCGTGTGAAAAAAGATCTGCCCAAGGGAATAGGATTTCTGAGAACCGTTCTGTATGTTTGAAATTTATTTGAATATCTAAAAGTACAGATATCAGCAGGGCAAACTGCGGCATGAAGACTGCAGCGCCTCCTGGTTTTCTGCAGTAATGAGTTTTAAACAGAATTATAATTTTTTTGCAGATTTGTCCCATCCAATTCTTGTTGTACGCTAGACAACAGATTGAAACATAATATCCGGATACTTTGGTACATCGGAATGTGCTATCTATTGGGAAATTAGAAATAAGACCTGGTTTGGCAGGCTCCTGCGTTTAATGTGCAATAAAACCACTTTGGAAGGTGAACTAAGGCGATTCGTTTTCCTTTTGTTGAAGGAGGAGAATGGTTGTCAGATAAGGTTAGCGCCGGCCACGTTTTGAGGGGAAACTGTACAAGAAAACAGCACATGCAATTTATTTAGATCCCCAAAGTAGGGAAGAGCAGTCAAAAAACATGCACCAGAAAAACCAAAAAAAAAAAGTGAAAAACAAACAACTAAATGCATTACATTCACAAATTTCGAGACACTAAAACAAACATCGAATCCCCTTGAAGCGCTTGAACTGATATCCCCAGAGAAATCAGCAAGAACTGAACATCAGCGGTTGACTGTCATATTGCCTTAATAAGACGCCCAATATGCGCTGCTTAAAAGTTGTTCAGAACCACTGCAACGTCTGGTAACGAATCACAATTGAATAGTCCTACAACCACCAAGATATTAGACCTCCAACTACAAGAGTCGATATTAAAGATAGTCCCACTGCATTAGTAAGATATCTTGGGCCACTCATTCAGTGTAAATGCTACGAACTTATAAAAACGTTTGGAGACCCTTTATTGAATTCGCGTTACCCGAACACGAATGTCCCTGGCTATTTATCATAAGAAGGCGTTCAACCGTCATTGCTCCGAATTAAGTTTTCTGCTAGTGGATTTATTTTCTCAGGGAACTGGAGACACANTGGCCTTACTTAATTAAACATTAAGCAAAATTATGGACCATGCTTATTTATAATTGGGATAGGATGGCACTTTCTTCTATCAAATTCTGCAAAATTGAAAACAGGTGTCAGATGCCATAACGTCATAGGATAACATGTATCATAACGTTGGGCGTGGACATCATAAAATTTTGACGTGAGCATCATAAAATAGTGACGTGGACACCAAAACACGATGACGTGATGAACTTGTTTTCGTTACCATTAATTAAGATTTCGTTTCCAATGATTCAACGAAGAAGACCAATGTCAAATTCTGAATTTTCCATACCAATAGAAAATTATATGGAATATTGAGCTCGTTCCCAGCCCAGTTCTTCAATTTCTTTCTCTCGTTACTACTCTTTCCGTGATACTGTTTTTTCAAACAACACACCCTGTAAAGATGTTTTTAGAATGACACATTTAAATTGAAACACGTTTAGTCAATGTATCATATATGTACTGAATCCTCCTGCATTGTTTAAACTTTGAAACACAACAGGTGCTAGTGCTGGCATAAAATCCAACCGACGAATTTGA